GACTCAATGGCACATAACAACAACAACAACTATTAAGTTTGACATTGATCTAGAAGAAAATTTAGACTTTATTAAGAAGATAATTCATGAGCCAATTTAGTTTTTACTGGCCAGTGTTCCTGGAGAAGGATGGAGACTCTGAAACATACGATGCCTCGCTCAACCCAGATGTCAGGGAAGACGAGGCTTGTGCCCAGCAGAAGCATGCTGTGGACAGGTCATTTGACAAAGTAAATTAGGAAAAAAGACTTGAGTTCCATGTTCATTATAAGAAACCTTGTAGAAAATTAAAGAAACTCAATAAAAGATAATGTTTGAAGAAGCCTCAGTTCAACCTCTCACCTTGACATGTGAATATATTTTTTACACAGAGGTTGGCTGAAGATATACTACTAAAGTTGTTGCTCATTGCCATCAATCTAGTTCAGGCTCATGGTGATCCCCACGTTTACATAGCAGAACTGTTCCATAGAGGGTTTATTTGGGATTGGCTTTTTTTTTTTTTGCTTTTTTTCCCTCTACTAGTTTATTTAAAAAATTCCAATACAAACGTGAACAAATTCATTCCGTTTCCCTCACACCCCCCCCTATCAAATTGTACAACCCAATGATTCATTCCCCCTTCCCCTGCATAGCCACATCCCTCTGCCTTTCCCAACCCTTCTGGATCCTTATATACATTCTACAATAACAGTTTTATACAATATTTATCCTTGTGGGACTGAGTTAGTTCACTCAACATAATGCTCTCCAGTCCCTCCCAAGTTAGGTAATAATTTACAAAGTTATTGCTCCTGTGTGCTGCATAGCATTCCATTGTGTGAATGTACCATAATTTCTCAATCCATTCATTTGTGGTTGGATATTTGGGCTGTTTCCATGTTCTTGTGATGGTGAATAATGCTGCTATGAACACTGGTGTATAAATCTCAGTTTGTGCCTCAGTTCTCATATCCTCAGGGTATATTCCAAGTAGTGGAATAGCTGGGTCCTATGTTCAGCTTTTTGAGGAAGCACCAAACTTCCTTCCAGAATGTTTGCACCATTTTACAATCCCAGCAATAATGCATGAGTTCCTTTCTTGCCACATCCTCTCCAACATCTATTACTTGCTGTCCTGTTAAATTTTGCCACTCTTACTGGAGTGAGATGGTACCTCATTGTGATTTTGATTTGCATTTCTCTCATTGCCAGTGATTTGGAGCATTTCTTCATGCGTCTGTTTGCCATCTGAATATCTTCTTCTATGAAAATTGTTTCCATGTCTTTTGCCCATTTTGTAATTGTGTTATCACTCTGTGACCTATCAAAAGCAGGTCTGTTTTCCAATATGTCTCAGGATTAATTCAAATCATCAAGCTTTTGGCTGTTGATCGTTTAACTGTCCATGTGCAGCAGTAGCTGTTCTTATGTGCCATTGAGTCACCCATGACTCATAGTGACCATATATACAATAGCTCTGAACCCTGCCCTATCCTGAGCCAGTCTCACTGACTCCCGCACACCTAATCCCATTGTCCCAATTACAGTGTCAATATGTCTCATCCTGAGTCTTCCTCTCTTGCGCTGTCCCTCTACCCTTCCGAGCATAAGTCCTTCTTCAAAGACTGGTCCCTCCAAGACGAGTGCCCAAAGTATGTGAGATGGAGCTTCCAAATCGTTATTTATTCTCCTGGCAGTCCAAAGTGTATTCAAGACTCTTTCCCAGCACCACAACTCAGAGGCATTGATTCTTCTTCTGTCATCCCTTCTCATCACCCATCTCTCTGATGCATAGTAAGTAACTGCAAAGACCATGGCTTGGACAAGCCATGAAGTAATAGTAGTAGTAGTAGTAGTAGTACACTGGTGAAATTCTTTAATGGCTTTACTTTGTGATGACCACTGCTTTTAGGATAAATACAAACTTTTCCCCCAAGAACCTACGTGATCTGACCTTTACTAATTCTTGTATCACCTTCCACCATGCTCCTTTTACTCTATTTCAAACAGAATGGCCTTCCTTCAATTCCTCACTCACTCATTGCCTTCAAGTCAAAATCAACTCATAGCTGACCCTCTATTGAGTGTCTAAAGTTGTAAATTAAACTGGAGGAGATTGCCTATAAGGAACTTGTACACTGAATGAGAATTGAGAGCTCATGAGCTCTTCTTTATTTCATTCAATGGCTACATGGTGGCCTAAGGGCAATAAACTGCACTGCAATCCCGAAGGCATGAGGTTCGAATCCACCAGCTGCTCTGTGGGAGAAAGATGGGCTATCAACTGCCACACGATTAACCACCTCTGAAAATTCACTGGAGGGCCAGCGATGGGTTGGCTCCAATTCGATGGTACACAACAAAAACAACAACATGTATGTGTTAAGTATGAACTCATTTCCCCCCATGGGTATTCATTTCCTCTAGTAGTGGAGGTATTAACTCTGGATACTATAGGGTGTTTCAATCCCTCCAAAGCACACTATTTTAAAAAAAGAAAATGTTACCTGTAACTCCCTGCTGTATTTTCGCACGTGGCTCCGTTTTGGCAGCTGAAGGGCGTCCCGGAATAAATTACACATTCATCAACATCAACTGAGCAGAGTGGACCCTGTGTTCATAGAAAGAATAAGAGTCATTTGCCAGGTGTCACAGTAGTAGCAAGTAGGGGTCAATATGAGGTATGTTTAAGGATTTGCATGTTGGCAGTAATAAGTCTTCAGTAAAACCAAATATCATAATACTAGTTTTACTTAGATTGGCCTAAAAGAAGCAGAGATTTTCCCCAAGATCACATCAGTTACCCAAAGAGAATCCTTATACAAACTAATCTTCATTTCATTCTGGCACTGAGCTTGGAAAAGCTTTTGTAAGAAATTAAAAGGAAATGTGCATGCTGGGAACATTTCCACCATTATTAAAGAGGGGCAAGAAAATTGCCATAGTTATATCAAGATTTGTTTAGCACTTTGCAATGCTGAGCTGTTTAAATTAATGCTAACAAAAATACGCTGCCCTCCCATGTAATTATCCAATAAAGTCAACCCTTTCTTAAGATGGCTTTAGTATTGTGAGTTATATAATCATACTTGCCATTGTTTTGGTTTTGGCAGGCAAGGTGGAATTAATTTTGCTTAGGAAGGCCACTGAATCCCAGACACTTTGGATGGAGAATTAAATGTATCTGAAGGACTCCACAAAAGCCGCAGCTGCTGACTCATTGCCATTTTTTAACCTCAGATCAAGTGACTCACCTGCCACTGTGATGGACAGATACAAAAGAAGGAATCGTGCAGGTTGAGGCAGGTTCCCCCGTTTTGGCAGGGATTGCTGCTGCAAACCTTCTTGTCAACTGTCTGCAACAAAGACGGGCACAGAGCAGTCAGGAGCAGTGGTACCTGCAGTGACTGATTCCATTCTACTCCTAAGACACAGAGGGAGTTCTTCCTCCAGACTTCACAGCAATTACACTCTTCACATCAGCTCTCTGATGTGAAATTTTAAAAGTGTTTCATGTTGTTGTTGTTAATTGCCATTAACCTCTCAGCCTTCAACTTTTTAAGTATTAAATAGTTCAGGGAAAGAAGATAAACCAGGAATAATGACTGTGGAGTCTTACTCCAACACCAGTTCTGCCTCATGGTCATCCCAGGAGTAAAACTACCACCTAGGGTTTTCAAGGCTGTGACCTTTTAGAAACGTCCCCCTTCCTCCCTCCCCCCCCCCCCACAGGGTACCTTTCTATGTCCTACCAACCTTTTGGAAAGCAGTCAAGTGTGTAAGAAGCACTTAGCCATTTAGGTCAAGGGAGAAGAGTTTCACTTTACTTTTCAAAAAAACTCTGTTTAATTAGTGGACAAGTTTTCAGGGGCAGAAATAAAAACAACCTTTGCTCATGCTCAAAGAAAAGAATATGAAAAGTCTAATTTCCTTCTCCATTATTCTTTGGTGGCTCTGGATAAGCGTTTGAAATCTGATCATCTTTCAGTGCCAACCCCTCCTCCCAGAGGTCAAGAGGAGTGAACTCTTTTCAATCCTTTTGTTTGAAATGTGGCGTTTAAATACACTCTGGTGCTCACATGACTGCTTTCAGACCAGAGCTGCAAACAGACCTGCCTTTGTCTCAACAACCTGAGGAATCTTACCATATACTCACTACCCCTTCTAATCTTGTAAATTTGGGGGTGGGGTGGTATTTTAATGCTTTTGGGATCAGTGGAAACATCTTTAGGGAGGATCTGAAGTAAGTGATTATGCACAGAAAAATACCCTGTTCATATCATCTAACCTGCGTTGGATTGCCAGTTTTTAAAGAATGCAAATACGTACACATTGCTTAGTATATTTTTGTACAATATTTAGCAGTTATAAATCAGAGAATGGGCAACTGGCTCAGCACCATTTATTTACTGAAAAGTCATCTCCACTGCATGGTAGCACCATTTTTATTATCATTCAAATACCTATACATGTGGGAGGGAGCTCTGGTGGCCTCGTGGAAAAAGAATTGCACTGCCAATCCAAAGGCAGGAGATTCAAATCCATCAGCTGCTCTGTAGGAGAAAGATGGGCAGTCTCTTCCTGTATAATTTATCGTGTCTGAATATTCACTGGAATGTCAGATATGAGTTGGTTCTCACTTGATGACACATAACAATAACAGGACACAGGTGGGAGTGTATTTCTGGTTTCTTTTTGTTCAACTATTCTCTTTATCTGATTTTGTGTCAGCTCCCCAATGGAGAGCTTCTGTTACTCAAAGAACACCATTAAGAAAGTGAACCACAAATTCATTCACTATTTTTACTGCTTTGCAGTACAAAAATAATCAGGAGGAAGCCAATAAGGAATGGCAGGGACTGTGGATCCAAGAGAGTACTTGTTCCAAGGGCATAAAGGCCCTCACATTCATTAATAATTAAAACTATGGGGGGTAGGTAGCACAGTTTGTGGGCTCACTTTGACCATGATCTCCTTGACCTTTGGTAGAATTCATCAAGCACCTTAGGAGATTAAAAGCTAGTGTCTTCTTCTTCGAAGATGGTGCCAAAAGCGAAGAAGGAAGCCCCTGCCCCTCCCAAAACTGAAGCCAAAACAAAGGCATTAAAGGCCAAGAAGGCAGCCCTTAAGAGCGTCCACAGCCAAAAAAAAAAAGAATGTCCGCATGTCACCCACCTTCCTACAGCCTAAGACACTAAGACTCCGAAGGCAGCCCAAATATCCCCAGAAGAGTGCCCCAGGAGAAACAAGCTTGACCACTATGCCATCATCAAATTTCCCCTGACCACTGAGTCAGCTATGAAGAAGATAGAAGATAACAACACACTTGTGTTCATTGTGGATGTCAAGGCCAACAAGCACCAAATTAAACAAGCTGTAAAGAAGCTCTATGACATTGATGTGGCTAAGGTCAACACTTTGATTAGGCCTGATGGAGAGAAGAAGGCCTATGTTTGACTTGCTCCTGATTATGATGCTTTGGATGTTGCCAACAAAATTGGGATCATCTAAACTGAGTCCAGCGAGCTAATTCTAAATGTAAATTTTTCTCACAAAAAAACAAAAGCTAGTGTCTTGCTCCAAAGATTTTATGCCTTGCTTGTTTCCTTTCACTTAAACCCACCAGGTTGAAGGCTGAGGGAGAAATGTATTATCAAGGTCAGGAAAAAATAAGAGACATGCAGAGGACAACACATGGCATTTAACCAAAACTAAGATCAGAGCAGTGATTCTCAACCTGAATGAGCTGGACTGCTATTCAGAATCTTAACTATGGGGATAAATCTGTGCATTTCTTTGGGAGGCTGATCTTGGCTACTATGAAAGACATAAGAGGTCAGCTACCTACAAAAGGCATGTTATTGTTGTTGTTGTAGTTGCAGGAAGCTGTTGTTGTAGGTAGCTGACAAAAGGCATATTAACACTAAAATAACAACTCATCTATGCAGCATGTAATGAAGTTGAGCGCCATTTGCTCTAAGAAACTGTCATGTTTAATTATCAGCAAATGTTTTTAGGAAATTTGAAACATTTTATGATATGCCCCTGGTGACTGAGTTTAATGTTCGAGAATGTGTTTTGCCTTTCAAAAGTTCATCCTGTATGTCACGTTCATTGGCACGTTAGCCTGGGCTCCTAAATCTACTTTAACGCAATGAAAGGGAAGGGACGTATGGACTGCCAAACAGGGTCAAATGACTTCACACTGGTCACTTCATTGCTTTCAGACTCAGATTCCTCATCTGTATCCTGGGAAACTGCGATGAGGACTAAATTATTGTGTAAAACAATTAAAACCCTACATAGTTATTAGTCATTCATTCTTAAAATAAGGATGCTAGTTCTGCCAGTGATACTTGACTATCTTCAGTAAAAGCTGGACATATATAATAGTGATGAGGCTTACCTGCTGTAAGCTTTGGAATTTTCTCTCGAGATCCAGAAGCTAGCATTGGAGGGGAGAGAAAAAGCAGCAATTAGCTAGCTCAAAGGTATTTCATACGTGACATTATAGCCTTGAAATCATTGTCCTAATCCAATGTTCAGGAATCACGCTCGCTCTGCTCTTATTTCCTTTTCTCTCTATAATCATCTCCTCTCCAGGTTTCCTTTCCTTCTTCTCTTATTCAAAGCATAGATTTTTAAAAATGCTAATTTTCAAACAGAGTGCAAACCACACTCCACCAACTGATTCATTGCTTCTCCAGGAATCTTTGTAAATAAGCAGGACACAGACACTTTATCAATTAAGTTGCAGTGAAAGTTTGAGCCAGGCTGACTTACGTAACAAGTCAAGACTCAGCATGTCCAGCCCTCTGCTCAAGACCACCTTTGCCGTCTCTATTAAAGCTACATCATTTAGCCCCAAAGTCCAGAATTAGTGCTGTTAGGTGCCATCAAGTTGACTACAACTTACAGCAATCCTATGAACAACGGATCTGAACCTTGTCCTGTCCTGTGCCATCATCACCACCTCTGATATACTCAAACTCATTGTTATAGTCACCTTGGCAATTCATCTTGTTGAGGGTCTTTCTCTGATCCTCTGTCTTTCCCAAGGACTGGCCACTCCTGACAGTATATCCAAAGTATGAGCCATAACAAGAAAGCCACTTAAATTTCTTACTTAAGGATATGAAGCTAATAGAAACGTTACTGTAAAATCATTACTGTTGAAGTTGAGTTAATGATGTGGCTGTGACTTACCTTGGAATTAAGCTGATGGATTTGACTAGATATATTCTGAGGCACATCAGCTGCAGTCCTTTTTAAATCTGTAATATCATCTTTATTCCTCTGGATCTAATTAAAATTTTAAAAGGAAAATGCTGGTGAAAAAGTATTTTTATAAGAATGGGATTTAACAGCATAATAAAAATCTTGAGCAGTGTTCTATTTTAAGCACCAAGATTTTGCCTATTATTATAAAAACCAAAGCAATGCCATGTAGAATAAGCATCAGACGGAAATAGTCACGACAGAATTTGACTTAACTTAACCTTTTTCAGTTAAAAACATCCATTTATTTTCCCCTGTACGCTTTTTCTCCATAATAATAGCTTAGGGTGTTTGTTAAGAAACCTCGTTTGGGATCTGAATTTTTGGTTTCTAAATCTTGGCTCAGAAATTCACTAGGTGTCCTGAGCAAGTTATTTAACTGCTGCAAAGTTCCTTTATATTTTCTTTAAATGGAATTATAAGAGTTCACCTCATAGGGTCAAATGAGACGATGTACATAAAGTACTCAGCATAGTGTATAGGTCATGCTGCTATTGTTGTTGTGTACCACTGAGTCAGAATTGATACATATCTGACCCTCCAGCAGGTTTTCAGAGGCAGCTAATCACACAGGAGAAGACTGTCCATCTTTCTCCTGCAGAGCAGCTAGTGGATTCAAACTATGTGCCTTTGGGATTGCAGTGCACCTTCTTGACACTAGGCTACCAGACTATGGGTTTGAGTAAGTTCTAAATTATTCTAGCTTCTAACATTACTACCAATACTTTGGCATGATGTAGCAAATACTAAGAACTGAAGTACAGAAACATTCAGTAAGGAAGCACTAGAGGCTCAAAGGTCAAGTTCTCTACAATTAACTAAAAGGTCAGTGGTTAGCACCCACCAGTGACTGGAAATGACCAGCAGTTACACCGAGTGAAAAAAATCTGGTGACCTGCTCCCATAATGATTATAGGCCAGGAAACCCTATGCAACAGTGCTCGTCTGTCATATGGTATTGCTATGCCTCAGAATCAACTCAGTGGAATACAAGGACAACAGTATCACAGAAGAATAACTAGGCCAATGTTCTCCTGACAGAGCAGTTCTAACACCACTGTATGCATCTTCTCTGGATGATGATATGTGTCCTTGTACTTTACATCAGGATTAATCCCTCTACCTTTAAACACTAGATCATTGACCTTTAACAAGGACTAGCATCACCTCCACATTATAGGTTTCAAGAGACAGTTTTACATAGACCTATTCAATTATGTCACTACATAGGACTACATGAATTGACTTCAATATACAAACAGTATATTATATACTTATATATACTATATATACTTATGTATGATATTAATTATTTTATTCTTTATATTTTATATTTCTATGAATTCTATTTCTTAATATGCATAGTTATACATATTTCTACAAAAAGTTTACCTGATGTAAACATTCATTGATGTCTTCATTATTTAATTTAATTTTCCCAAGGGATCCAGTTCTGAATTCAATGTTTTGGGCAGAATCAGTAATAAAAACTAAATTCCCCCTCTCTGTAGCAATTCGAGGCCTATATGTTTCAAACAAGAAAACACATTAGCTAAAGAAAGAGAGAGAGAGGGAGAGGGAACACATATGTCTCTTTAAATCTAAAAATAGAAACAAAGTTTGTCACTAGAGAATTTAGATGTCTTCAGTTTGTTATCAACTCAACTTCATAACTTGTCAATGTCTTAAGTAAGCATTGTCATAGCGAACATTTTTAAATATTTCCCCTGTTTATCTACAATCACAAAGTCTCTGGAGAAGTCTCGTAGTAATTGCATATTTGACTCCATTGTAAAATGATAAGTGAAAGTTTTCTCTGTAAAACATTGACTTCATACATCACTCCAAATATTTTCTCCAGTTTACTTTTAACATCTTTGTTGCCCTCAAGAAAAATTACACCTTAGCTTATCTAGGTCTTTGTGAAACCTAGTGGCTAAGTGCTTGGTGATAACCAAAAGGCTAGTGGCTCGAACCCACCAGCCGACAGAAAACTCTACTGGAGAAGGTGTGAGAAACTATTTCTGTAAAGATTGCAGCCATGGAAACCCAATAAGATAGATCTTCTCACATGGTTATTATGAGTCATAATTGATTCAATAGTGATGTTTTTTTTTTTTTTCTTAATAGTCCATCACAGACACAACCCATGCAACTACTTACTGTTGGAGACCGGAGTTTCTCTTGTGTCTCTGCAGCTCAGTTACTCTGGTTTGACCATCTAACTCAGTAAATGTCCATAAAATAACCAAGCTCCAAAGAAAAGGTGAGGACATGTTCCTCACCGGCCCTCCAAGGTTGCCAGGTCAGGCAGGCAACTTCAACGGATTGAGAATGAAAGACTGGAGAACAGCTAGCCAGGCACATATACTTTGACCTGTGGAGTATCCTGGCCACTGGAGAGTCACTTCTTTGTTATTTGTCTCAGAACACTACTTCCCCCACCCCTGACTTCCCTGAGGGGTGTAAATGATCTTAGATTTTTCAGTACTTTTCAACTTGCTAGAGGTCAAAATCTGCCTTTAAGTGATGATGCACAATTTAATCATTATCTATTTGACCTTTGAAACAGTAATAAGCTGCTTTAAAAATATCCACTAAGACAATACTTGTTTAAGACATTGCCAAGTTACGAAGTTTAACTGCTTTTCTGATCTCTCAAACAGTGAAGAGAACCAGCAAACAAAATAATTTGAACATGAGTTAGGAAGAAAGGGTGGGGAATAATTGTTAAAAAAAAAGTCTTAAGAAAATGAACACATGAGAAAATGCTCAAAATCACTAGCAGTTAGAGAAATGCATATCAAAACAACTAGCATACCATCATACCCCAGCAGCAAGAAAAAAGTTTAACAAGACAGTAAATAATAAATATTGGTGAGGATAAGGAGAGGTGGGAACTCTCATACACTATTTGTGGGATTGTAAAATTGTACAATCACTATGAAAGCAGTGTGGTGGGTCCACTTTGCAAGTAAACCAGTATAAAATAAAGATTTTCTTTAAAAAAAGGTGAAAATAAAAATCCCATTTGGCTAGCTATTGCACAACTAAGAATATCCCCCTTAAGGAATTCAGAGCTAAGATTCAAATGGATATATGTACCCTCAATGAGATGGATTGACATAGTAATTGCAGCAATAGGGTCAAGTATGTGAGATGATTATGATGGCAGAGGATAGGCCAGGGTTCAGATCTACTATTCAGAGGATCACTATGAGTTACACTCAAAGCCATATTAACAACAACAATAACATGTTTATTGCAGATTATTTACAATAGCAAGAAGATGGAAACAGGCCAAATGCCTCTCTAGAAACAAAAGAACAGAGATATTGTGGTACATTTACTCACTGGAATATTATACAGCATTAAAAACAATGAAGAACTCATAAACTACAATACAGCATGGATGAATCTAGAGAACGTTATGCTGAGTGAAATAACTCAGTCATAAAAGGACAAGTAGTTATTTTAACAGCTATTTTGAAAACACAAAAGGAATTGTGGTGGAGGTACAGGGAGAGAAGAAATAGAATATACAGACAATGAACGCTATAAAGGATCAGGAGAAGGGACGGTCAACCTGGGGAAAAAATAGGCAAATGGACACTATGGGTGCTGCAACTAGCTGCTTAAAGGGGGAGGGAGAAGAAGCGAAGAAGAGTGCGGGAAATACTAGGGCATCGGAGATTAGTGGATGAGTAGGTGGGGTAAAGGAATAGGATAGGTACAGGGAGGATCTGCAGGGACATTGTGATAAATAATATGGATCAATTGTAATTTATGTTATAGGCATAATGTATATGAGTGATTGAATGAAAGCCAATTAAAAATTTAAAAGGGTACTTTTGCATCTAGACTCATGGGTTTCAAGTACTCAGAAAGAGAACATGTTAAGAAAATTTGAAATGTCATATGAGATGTTGCCCTTGAACAAGGATGAGCTGTTCGATATTGTGGAGAAATGTGACACTGTTCAAATATTTCTAAAACTTTCCTAAAATATCTAGGACTTAAGATACGGAAAAAAGAAGGAAGACTTAAGAGGTAAGTTTAACACCTCTGTATTTACTATGAAAATAGGGGTTGGAGGTGGGAAAGAGGGCTATGCTACAAGAAATTGAACTGAGAAAAAGAATTTTTAAAAAAATACAAAGAAAAAGAACATTGAATGGTCAAACCAAAAGAGAGGTAGGCCTGTTCTATGCTACTCCCACAGTGAGGTAATGTATTCCCATATTATTATTACTCATGATAGAGTTGTGGGCTTCTGATAGCTATTGTTTTTAGTAATATGTATTAGTATTGTTACATCTTTCCTAAGCTCTAGTGGCTTAGGAATTAAGGAAATGCACTGCCAACCCATGGCAAGCAGTTCAAATCCACTAGTTGTTCCATAGTAGCATGTTGGGCAATCTCCTCCAATGTGATTTGCAATCTCTGAAAACCCACGGGAAGGTTATTTATGACTCAGTTCTGACTTGAAACTCATAACAACAACGTCTTTACTATCTACATCTATATAACTCACTCAAATTTAGTATTGTTTGTTTCCATTGAATGACTATGTTTGCTGTTGTTCATTGCCATTGGGTTGGAATTAACTCATAGCTGACTGTCCAGTGAGCTTTCAGAGGCTGTAAATGACGCTGGAGAAGACTGCTATGTTTCTCCCTCAGAGCAGCTGGTGGAGGCAAACCATCTATCGTTGGATTGGCAGTGCAACTCCTTCCCCACAAATAAAACAAAATATATAACTATTTAGAACTTCTTTAAAGTCAAACAGAGAGGATACCAGTTTAATGACTGAGGTGCACCTGATCCAAACCATGGGAATTTCAATAGTTCATGAATTTGAAAGATAGAAAATGAAAAAAGGAAGATGAAAGAAAAATTGATGCCTTTAAAGTCTGGTGTTAATGAAGAGTACTGAATATCCCATAAACTTTCAAAAGGACAAATTAATCTGTCTTGTAAGAGGTACAGCTAGTCTGCTCCTCAGAGTCAAGGATAGTGAAGCTGTGTCTCACATACTTGGGGCAAGTTATTAGGAACAGCTGGTCTGAGAGAAAAGACATCATTCTGGGAAAGGTCAGTAAAAGAGAGAATGACTCTCAAGGAAATGGATTAACACAGTGCCTGTAACAATGGGTTTAAGTATGCCAGAGATCATGGTGATGATATAGGACAGGGTAAGGTTCATTTCTGTTGTTTATAGTGTGGCTAGTTGTGGTCAAACTATGTAACAACACTTGTAACATCTACTTTGTGTCAAATTTTGTGCTATCCTGAGACAGAGCAGTAAACAAAGAGGTAAGAACTAACTTTCCCTATGGAACTTAAATTCTGGTACAAGAAAACAGGTGAAAAAAGTTTTCAAAATCAATGAAGAAGGCAGTTACAAATATGATCGATGTTGAAGAGAATGTAAGAGGTGATCTGACATAAAGACTAAGGAAAAGGTATCTACTTACATACTTAGTGATTGGTCAGAAAAGTCCTATTGAATGAAGGCGTATATTATGACCAGAAATACGTTAAAATATCCACTCACACAAATCTGGGAAACCCAACTACTTCAACTTCAGGAAACCTTACTTTTCATATTTTGGGTGCTCTGACGGTAGCTTGTTGTTGTTAAGTTTTGTAGAGTCATAGGCTACTCATAGCAACCCTATGAATGAAAGTCCTGGACACCTATATAACTTTCATTCTTTATCCAGGTTCATAGGATTTCCAGAGGCAAGCCATTTTGGAAGTGAATGTCACTCACGCTTCCAAGCTTGTTTTAATTGGGGAGCTCCACCAAACACTGTCCACCATGGGTAACCATTCTTACATTTGACTCATGAGTGTCACAGGGCTTGGCTTCACAGCAACCACGGAGTTACCTCTGTACAGCAAGTGGACATATCAGGGTGGTGGTTGTTGTTGTTATGTGCCATCGAGTCACTTTCGACTCATAGCGACCCTATGTACAACAGCCCTAAACTCTGCTCTGTCCTGTGCCAATCTCACTGTCTCTGATACACCCATCCCAATTACGCCAGTCACTGAATCAATCCACCTCATAGAGGGCCTTCCTCTCCTGCACTGTCCCTCCACCCTACCAAGCATGATGTTCCTCACCAAGGACCAGT